TTGTAGCGAACGGATCGCAGCTGTTGGTTGCCCATTACTGACCATATAATCAAAACGTTCATAGAAACCGTTATTGGAGACGCGAGTCCATTAACAACTGCATTACCTTTCCAAACTAGCACTACTGAGAAAGGAAGGCTCGATACGTTGTAGTCACTGTGGTCATAGTCCTCTGTTAACAAGCACGCGGGCTTGGTGCTGTTGGAAGACATCGCGAACAACAAAACCGAGGCTCTTGACAAGTGCTTTTAACTGTGAGGTAATCTTTTATGCAAGACATTCAGAAGCTATAAAGTTGAAAAGTTTTAGTACTTCCTTTTTCTATTCATATTCCAGTGCTTTTGTTTTAATCATCAAGTTGCTTGTTTAGCAATCATCAAATAGCGGTGAATGGGTGATTTTTGCGTCAGATGGTGAAAATGGTTTTTAGTTTGTTTTAGATGACCATGAACCTATCGTTATAAAATGAAACATGCCTATTTGAAAACTGTTTGATGCTTGGCCGAGTTTTCGTTAATTAAAGGAATTGAAAAATTGTCCGACGTTTTCGTACGTTTATAGTAATGTCGGACTCCATTAATTAAAAGAAGTAATGGCATGGGTTTTGTGTATAACTGACTTTTGTTTAGAATTCCTTCCATTAGCATACAGCAAGCATAACCATTCAATTCTTCCACCGGACATCGCTGCACGAACATGCATTGCGTTCTTTCATTTAAGACCAAAAATAATATTTTGTTAACGGCGCGAGAATACTGAAAAAGAGAGCACTTGGCCAAACAAGTTCATTATTAAAATCTTCGAAATTGAAGGTGACTAAATCTTATCTACAGATAACATTAGATTAGATTTTGATAAAGAGGCTTCCCACTCATACCACATTACGCATGGTTTGTATAGTTTACAACATTCGCCTCCGTGTACGATTGTATGGGAATTACAATCTCTCGCCGCAAAACGACTTACGAAACTCCAACACTAATTAACACCAATTACAGTGAGATAAATAACGAACAAGGTTACTGCTGAGTTTGGTCGCTATTTAGCATGCGCAATTCACTGTAGCAAAGAACATTTTGAATAGTTATTAATTATCCCACATGGAAAGCAAACTACATGTTCKATAAATATTGTATCACATCAGATTTATAAGGTCAATCATCTGACCAGAGAGAGCCGTTAATGGGGTAATGGTTCATGAGTTAATTAATTTTGCACTTTGCATCGTCTAGATTCGGTACAAACACCTTTTGTTCAAGCTAAGTCTTTGCAGAAAAAAACGTTTTGTGCAAACGTTGGCGGTCCCCTGTTTGCCCTGGTAGGGTAACGATGAACTGGAGTTGTAGGTGATTCTGTCATTTGCATATTTCATGAGTTAATTAATTTTGCACTTTGCATCGTCTAGATTCGGTACAAACACCTTTTGTTCAAGCTAAGTCTTTGCAGAAAAAAACGTTTTGTGCAAACGTTATTTTTCCGATATTTTAAGTGGTCCCGTTGTTTCAGAATCGAAATGAACTGTTAAAAGGCTGCACTTGTGGGGTCCACTTAAGTTTTGAACGTAATTTTCTCATTTTCCCTTCAGAGGCGCCATTACCGATAACTCAGCTAAATTTATAACTAGCGATCTTCGAAATCAAAGGCGATTAAAGCTAATCTAAAGACAACTTTACCTTTAGATTATGTTTTGGGTTTTGAACAAAAGGTTGTCCACTCTTATCGCGATGGCATCGTTTCATGACAAATTGTCGGTTAGCTGACATCTGCTTAGTAGGCCCACTCCAAAGGCGTCTCTTTCCTTTCTGAGCTTTTTGAGCGCGACTAGTAGCAAGTCAGAATTTTCTGCGGGACATGTTAACTCAGAACTTTTCTGAAATACAATATCATGGTTCATTTACTCCGACGAAGGATAAACGTCCGAAACGTTATTAATTTGTTTCATCTACGTTTTTACGGTTATCTTTTTACRCACTGTAACTTCAGTACAAACAACGCCATGTTTGGCATCATGACCAAAAGATGTTTGTTCCGAATCTATTACACAATGCAATGCAAAATGCTATCTCAAGGCGGGGTTGTTTAAATCGTGATTAGCGTTAATCAAGAGTTAACTCCATAGGTTTTTCTAAGACTTAACCCAGGATTAGCGCTAATCAGGCTTTGAACACATGCAAGTGTTGCTAATTACAAATAGTTCAACAAGAATGGTTTCGTAGCAATATTTTACTTAAACTGTTTAGTTAGCCCACTTGATAACATGTTAAAATCATGGCATAAATTGGGCACCTTTATAAGCTAGATATAGAAAATAAACAGAAAAACACTAGCATCCTTTTTCAGGCAAAGCTTTTGATTAACGATGTTTTAACATTGTTTTAGGAAGATTGGAAATTCTAAAGAGCATTGCCAGAAAAGGACTCTAGAGCGAAACTAATAATTTTTACACACAAGAGTTTAAAAAATTGCTATTTCGGCCATGGAAGTTCAAAGAATTTACTGCTTATCTAAATTTAAATAAATGTAGTATCTTGAATCTCTTGATATGTACGACGATACACTATATGGGGGTGAGGGGGTGGGGAGGGGACTACATTAATTAAGTATTAAGTCCCGTTTACAATGGCGAATTTTGCGGCGATTTTTGAGTTCATTTTGATCCTGTAGAATAATGCTAAAAATTAACTAATAAACTTTTATTCAGTATACTGAGATGAACTAGCTACACGTCTCCTGAGAAGGATACGACAAAATCTATTGTATGTTTTTGAAATCGTTTGAAAAATTGGAACAAAAATAGCCGCAAAAATGGCCATTGTCAACGGGCCTTTACAGCATGCATAAATTAGCCCAGGTGCAGATGTACACCCTCAGAGAATCCACTTTTGTACGGAAGATTAAAAGCAATTCCATTGAAAGACAAGGTTCATTGCCAAGAAATTTCATTAGTAGAATGGTTTACCTCTGACTACTGAATAACTAAGAGTAAATGACAACTCTAGAACTGTGCTGCACGAATGGCAAAGGATATATATCAGGACAGATGAATTTAAAGTGTGCTTTATGAAGAAAAAAATGTTTCACATGTTTCTCATTGCAATGTCTCTGTAMATAGTCTAGGCATCACAAAACACATTTTAACATTCCTAGAACAAGTCTGGCCTTTAAATAATGAAATTCCACGTCCATTGATCAAAATCCAAAATATTCAAAAAATCATTAGACCTAAAAGAAGGATTTTGATTTTGATCGATATAATGGCACTAGCTACTGATCAAAATCCAAACACTCATTAAAATTCATAAGATCATATATGAGAATTTAGACTTTAATCAACATGCAACTTTATACTGATCAAAATCTAAATACTCTATCCAAAATTACAGTACTACAGAGGAGAGTTTGGACTTTGATCGACATTCCCATTGATTACACTTACTTTAAAAATAAAAACAAGATCTACTTGATATAAACATGGTTGTTTTGAATTGGCTGTACAAGATCACCTTAACATTGCTGCCTATGGTTTACTATTCTACTGATTGACCATGTACATATACTTGATGCATTATAGCGTCTGGGATTTGAATGGATAGTCTATTGATTGGGCTAGCCAGCAGGTCATACTTTGCTTGGCATCAACCAGGACCATTGGCAAGGGGCGGTGTTTCTGACTGTGATGAAATCCCTGACCTATAAAGAAACACTTTAATTAGCAAAAGAAAGTACATGTACAGAGAGAGAGTTGTACATGTTAGGAGTATGCGAAAACCAAAATAATGTCACAAACATTCGCACAAAAACTACACCAGAATAGTAGATAAATAACATGGCGGCCATGACATATCATTAACACCAACAATATTTAGGCCTAAAAGCTGCAAAACTGAAATCTTCAAGGATACATACTATAAAACCGGGCAAAAATAAATAAACACAAACTTTTTCATCAATAAAAAGATGTGCTTTTTGGATAAAATATGATTACCATACATGCTTAAAGTTAGCAGTTGTTTCACAGACACACRGAGGGTTAAAATAGCATGCATACTACATTTTTGGGAAAATAAACTACCTATAAATATTATCAATAATTTAATAAAGCAATGTTGCCTACGTGGAATCCTCCAATTTGTTAGTACTGCTTGTATTACTGCATTCYGATTGGCTGCCAGGTTTATCRTGAAAATCTACAGGTCCATTCCCTGTGGGGTTTTCTGTAGAGTTTGATGTGTTGATGGGGGAGGGGTGGGTAGCTACTGGTTCTTCTCTGCTATTCTCATTCACCTAACATTGCAAATAAAAAACAACAAAATTAAGACTCCATTAAAATTGTCAAAATACTCATAATTGTCCAACATTTTTTAGAATCATTAGCCCAAAATTCTTTGTATCAAGTCAAGTTAAAAATTTCTATTGAAAAATTATGTTATGAAATGCATGGTACACAGTTAAACAATATAAATAGTAAAATAGAAAACATTTACCTAGTTTCATCACTTTTACTCCGAAGAAGGATTAACGTCCGAAACGTCAGTAAGTTATTTCACATACTTTTTTTACAGTGTTAAATTTATATTTTTACACAACTGTTTCTTTAGAAACACCGACGCAGCTCACACTAGTTTACCGCTAGTTCCCACCATTTTACTAGAAAACATTAATAAAGTATTCTTACAGCTTCCTTGGTGTCAGCTGATGTCGTTTTTGGCGTTTGCATTACCATGTTGAATGGTTCTGCTTTCAGTTGAAAGTTTTCAACTTGTGATCTGAAAAACAACACATTTCAACATCTTCATCATCATTATTAATAATAATTCTGTTGAAATATTTGAGATGCTGATTTTAGAAAATATTTTGTGTGGTTTTGTTTGATGCAGTTAAACTGTAAAATGTARAATAATTCTACTGTTGAAATATTCGATGCTGATCTAGATAATTTTGTATGTTGCTTTGTTTGTTGTAGTTGAACTGTAAAACATAATTCTACTGTAAATGAAATATTTGATGTGAAACTTTAAAATGTTTAAACTTGGTTTGCAAAACTGTTTAGGCTCAATAATAATATTWTCCAAAGGTACTAATGAGATATATTATACATGTATGTATACTAAATAGGATCATACATTTCTTGCCTAGCATCTTCAGCTGGTAAGCCTTCATCGTCATCAGAGATATCATCATCACTATCATTTGAAGCTAAGGGAACACCATCCTCCTTCTCACARCTGCYAGAATTYAAAATGTTGACTCTGAGGTTAATGTTTGAGCCACAAAAGCCATTTTACAATCATGTTTGAGTCACATTTATCAATAAACTGATTCTTATGTTAGTAGATCAATCATGATCATTGGTTTATAATTTCAGCCATTTTCTAGTAGGTACTGGAATAACTATGGCTTAACATCACATGAGCTATGCATTTTATATCCCACCTGTAATTTGCAGCCCTTGGGGGTAGTGGTGCTGTTTTTAYTGGTGATGAATTTCTCACGGTATCATTGGATACATTCTCTTCACTAGATTGATTAACAAACACATTACTWGTGTCRAGGACTAGGCCTTTGCTTGGGTCATCACTAGAAAGGAAAAAAGGCTTGTGAGGTATTTTTGGATAGTTATTAAAGAAAAACTTCMAGTACTACTAACTATAAAATACTTAGTGCATATTTTTACTACATGATCCAAAAACATTCCCAGAATTGATAAAACAGTATCCAAATTAAAAATTTCTTATAATAATAAATTAATTATTGTTACCATGACTGATCCTCCTTAGCATCTTGCTTGTCTTGTCCTATCACTGTTAGAAAAAAACAATGTCATTTTGAGCATTGACCATTTCAAGTAACATTAAACTTAGACATCTGGACAGACAGACAGAAAACATAGCTAATTGCCAAGTGCTTTGGTAATTATGATAATATTAATAACTGACAGTGAGGAACAGAGTAACTTACTGTATGCAGAAGCTGAGGATGGTGAAGGTGATGCATTTTCAGGGGGTGAGGGCGATGTCTCTGTTTCCATAGCAACAGGTGAGTCTGGTCTTTTATCAGTCTGTTCCCTGCTTAAGTCAAATGGGTGTAATTGATATCAATACTAAGATGGGCAGACAAAAATTATGGGAAAATTAAAAATAATTAATACCATAATAGGTAGTGAACATTTT